GCATATCACTGGAATCTTTGCCAGTAGGGAGGGCAAAGGACGGCAAGGGAAGGCAAGGGAGGGCAAGGGAAGGCAAGGGAGGGCAAGGGAGGGCAAGGGAGGGCAAGGGAGGGCAAGGGAGGGCAAGGGAGGGCAAGGGAGGGCAAGGGAGGGCAGAGGAGGAAAGAGGAGAGCAAGAGACGGCAGAGGAGGGAAGTGGAGAGCAAGGGGCGGCAGAGGAGGGCATGAGAGGCCAAGGGAGGGCAAGGTATGGCAGAGGAGAACAGAGGAACGCAAGGGATGGCAGAGGAGGACAGAGGAGAGCAAGGGATGGCAGAGGAGAGCAAGAGAGGTCAAGGGGGGCAAGGGTTGGCTGAGGAGAGCAGGAAATGGCAAGGGAGGCTAAAATGTTGTGGACTCATAGGCCAGCAGTTGCTTGGTTGTGTATGCAGCAGGCATGAAGGTGGGGTTTGCATGCAAAACGTCGGGTTGTATGTGGTGGAGCAGGTCACTGGATATGAAGGGAGGATCTTGAATCTGAACATTGACATCTTTTCTTCTATCTTAAGCTCAGGGCCTACTTTAGGTGCAGCACGTTGTGTTGCAGTCACGAGAGACAGGATGCAGATCATTCAACCTTGTGGCCTGCTGGTGGCTGTAAGTAGATATTGGCGTTGAACTGCTTTTCAAAAGCAGTAGTGCTTCGTATGCTAAACTGTGAAGCACAAGGATACCTTACGCCATGTAAGTAGTGCCATTCGTTTCATGCCTAAATTCACTGCAGCAGTAGTGCTTTTGGAACAGCAGCCTGGATTTTCATCCAGTCAATTAGTGCCTTGCTAATAAGCGAGGTAATATGCATGATTGATGATTTTGCTTGAAACGTATGGTTTGACAAATAATAGGCAAAAGGCAGGACATTTCGTTACAAACCGTTCAAGAATGTTTGTTCTAAACGAGGTTAACCTCGTTTAGATAACGTTATCCATCAACACCGTGAGACAGAGCTAAAATACAGTCTGAAAACATCTGACAAGCCTTAACAACGGCTAACAGCACCAATTCCTGTTCTACTTCTCCAACATGGTTGTTAACAGCCAGATCCACCCGCCGCCAGCCCAAACATCGTCTGACAGCCCCATCACTGTTAGAGAATCTGTTAGGCTAACATTTCCTAACAGGCACGCCTGTTAGCCGCTGTTAGACCCCCTATGAGTTGGTAGGGTTGTTTGGCCCGAAGGAGAATCTGAGTTACCTAATGTTACTTAATGTCCACGTCAGAATAATGAACCCATCATGGCTTTATTATGGTTTGTTACTAGCATAGCATGCTATCTATGCAGTGACTGCCACAACGAACTCGCTGTGATCTGATCGCTAGCTATCACACCAGTGGCTACCTATCACACCGGCAGCTATGTACCCCGCCAGCAGGCTTACATAGCTCCATTCATATTCTTTTACGTCGGTGGAGGCGCTAGGCTGCCGCTTCCTGGCTTTGCAGGAGGGTCGGCCCTTTCTGTATCATTGCTGTTGTTGGCTTCATGCATCAGCAGTGCTGGAGCAGCAAGCTTGGCAGAGGCCTCTTTTTGCCAGTTGATTTCGGAGGATATCCCTGATCTCCAGTGCTATCTGAATCATTTCCCACAACTGGTAGAGGATGACAGCAAGCGAGGTGAGAAGAAAGCACACTGCGTGCAGCAGGCAACAGAGATGGGACTCTTGTTATTTGGGTGTTTGGCTTCTGTAACATGTAACAGAGCTCCCGAGGGAAAGGAGGTTATGCGGAATGCTGTCTTACTTTGCTATATCCACATAGCTACTGAAAAGGCGGCTGATTGTCATTGAAGTAAAACGCTGTGGCACGCACTTACCAATCATTAGGTATGTCGTTGGTGCATTGTTGCCTGGATGGGCATCCAGTAGTGCAAAGGCGACTATGAATACTATTAGCTCAAGAGCATGGCACACAAGCTCCATGGCCTGTCTCTGCCAGTCAACAAACGGCCGCCATATCGCCAGGTATAACACCATGGCAGCCTGAATCACGCACAGCAGAACCATCTGCAACATGCTGCGTGTCTGCAAGCTGAGGAAGCCAAAGATGCAGGCAACGAGGGCCTTGTGTGTCGCATTTATTGCCCCAACGGACAAGATCATCTTGGTCTCGCGGCCAGATGACACGCTGGTGTTTTCCTGCAAATAAAACAACAGAACATCACAACCAAGGTATAGGGGTTAGACTGGTTAATTCATCTGTCGATTGGGAGGGAATGGCTGTGTAGGACCCCATATACAGGGCCCCATATCATATGGTATAGGGCCATACCATATAGTATGCACGGGGAGGTCACTATGGAATGAACTTTGGACCGATGTTGGACCGATGTTTGGACCGATGTTTATTATTACCCTGTTGCTGCCCACATCACACAACATGCCTACGGTGCCTAGATGTCCGCCCTACGGCATGCCAATGGATTCAGGAGGGGCTTTTGCTGGATAACGATTCACTACAACCGGAATACAATTGTATTCCGGTTGTGGTGAGAGGGCATGAGAGGGCATGAGGCCGGGAGCATGGGAGCCCGCATGCTTAATCGTCTGCCGATAGATTTTCATGACGTGATATCTGCCTTATCTATCTGGACAGCCACCGGCTGGTGATTGGGCGCCCGGCTTGTATGAGCCCGTTACACCTTTGGCGAGTAATGCAACTCAAGGTGTAACACACACAACGTGCTTTCACAGCTGATGGTGCTTTATCCACGTTCCCTATTTATGGCAGCCCCGATCCTTCTTGCAGTGCAGGGATTTTACCAGCTGGTATAACCCTGCTTCATCAGGGCATGGCCAAAATAAATTATAATGACGGACCCTTTCACCTCAAGCAACCGAAATAAGGACTTACACCGACTGCGTCCTCAAACAGGAACTCGAATCTTGCTAGGAGATGGACTGGCGGAGGTGTCAGGTGCAGCCACAGTGGCCAGCAGTCTCGCCGGTACTGCAGCTGGTACACAGGCACCTGCTTGCCTGCAAACAACAGTATTATTCGCATGTGCGCATTTGATTGCACCAGATAGTTGCATTTATTTGTATACTGCCCGCGCTGGTCCACGCTGGCTAAATATGTACTACCATATTTATGCATGTGCATACCTAGCGGCATGCTTGTGTTGTTTGACTCGAGTATTACCCAAAAATAAATGCAGCTGCACATACAGACAATCTTTAACAGGAATACTGCCCAAGCAAGTAAGTATAAAAGCCTCGATTAACGGAGCTTCTTGACGATCTTCTGTAAAATATTCATTTTTGGACGCGGTGTCCCAAACCAGGTATAATATATGTGAAATTAATAAATAATAATGGGATACAATCATATTTAATTAAATATATGATAGTATAAGACGTGTTAGGAGGTCCCCCATGAATGTCATCTTGCATGCCCACCGGACTCCGGACTCTGGACTCCGGTGCTCGGAGCACACAAAGCTTCCCGCCGCCAGCTATACATACATTTGTCGCTGTCAGCACTTACCTGGGTACAACGCCAGCAAATGTTTGCCCACAATGAGCGGGGCTAAGTAGGCAGGTGCATACTCCGGCATTTTGAATGTGGTGCGCCGCCGGCGGTGAGGGGCGACTTCCGACATCAAAGACAACTTTGCCTGTCCACATGACTCATGGCTGCCGAGCTTTCCTTGGCCACACAAGCTGGGCGCCTCTGATGACCGAGCATGTAGGGAAGGTGTCGGAGTTGTGCGGCCAGGCACGTCCATGGGAAGCACTGCCGGACTATAATCTATTTCTGCAAGGACATTGTAATGCTTGACGAAGTCCTGCTGGCACTGTATGCCGTCGTTAATCCCATCACGGCTGCTGCAGTCCATGCGACCTCTCATCGTGCTTCTTGATGACAAAGATGTCAGCAGCGTCATGGCGGACTTCAGGCCGGGCCGAGCCTGCCTTTTCATGGAACGACGGGCTCGAGGTGATGCTGCGGCGCCTGATGCCGTGACGCCGGAAGGTATTGGAAGGATGATGTAGGGTCGTTGGGAGGCGGGCGTATGGGAACAATGTGTTGGCAACCTGGTGGCAGATGTACCATCTTCCGTTGCCTCCCCCACAGGCCCTGCTGCAACCGTCAACAGACAACTACCAGCACTACTGGAGAGCTTGGACCTATCACCATAAATCGGCTCACAATTTTCCCCGCTGTTGCTTCTGTAGCTGGCCTTGGAGTGTGGCCTGGTTGGCAAATCATCAAGCACGCGTACGGGCTCTGCTGCTGGTACCATCACTTGTGAGTCGCCAGCCAGCTTCGACGCCTGGTTATTGGATTGGACAGCCTCTTTCCATGCCATGTGCTTGGGCAAGAGCTTAGGTGTCGTCCAGGCGGCCTCTGCAGTGGGAGGATTGGCTTGCCGCCCCACATCATCAGGCCCATTCAGCCCGTTGTCAGTATTATTGCAGGTGTTGCTGTAGGATCGGTAAAGGGGATCGGTGTTACTGCCACACTGACTGTTATCGCCGCTGTTGGCCTGTGCCCAGCAAAAACAGAGGAAAGGGGTTATCCACGTCGTTAATAACAGGTAAATTGTCTGTGAAATGGGTGAGGTACGGCTGAGCCATCTGCTGGGCGTATCCTGTCCATTCATATAGCCTTCGATTAATATGGCGGTGCACATACAGTCCGTAATGTACTCCACATGTGGACCCTCCTAATGCCTTCCGCTAAGATAGCTCGGATAGCTGAAGTGAAAGCACAATGCATAACCTGACCTCCAACGGGTTATTGCAGAACGAAGAACATAAGCTGTAATGTGTCATCATCGAAGTGCAGAGGTGGACACAGGCGGTGGTACATGTGGGGTTACACGCCGGCGCCACACAGGCAGGCGCCTGCCTGTACTTCACAAACTAGCCCCTAGAACTAACAGATTTCTTGATCCAGTTAATAGGGAAAACTTAGTCAGTCAACACCCAGCAGCCGTACGGCCAAGCAGGGCTCCTGCTCTTGCTAGCCATGCGCAGTCTGATCATGCACACAATCGCATCTCGCTCGCAGTGATGCCTTAAGGCTCATAACACTGTTCTTGTGACCGACCTTGAAGCTGTTGTGCCGGCGCCGCTGTGGTCTCCCATGCCGCGATGGCACCTGTGATTGATCCGAAAATTGAAGGGCCTGCTGGTGCTGAGGTTGTGGATGGCCACTCAATGCTGCTAAGCTTCCGGCTTTCTTTAGCGATGCCTCGATGCTAGTCCTAGGCACAGACCAAAGCGTAGGATCTCCTTCAGTAGCTCTTGCTGAAACCCTTTTCTTCTTGCTGCTTCCTTGCGCTACAGCAGTCATGTGGGCGCGTGATGTCTGCAGCGGCACCCTAGCGACTGAAAGTGATCCTTTGGGAGGTTGCTTTGGTAGCAACCGGCCTCTGGGTGCAAGCAAGCCTTTGGCAAACGGCTGACGTAGTGGTAACCGAGGTGTAGCCTTGTGCGAAAGGTCATTGGGATTTTGACCTGGAGGCCGCTGGCAGGAACTAGGTGCAACGGGTATTCGGTTGCCAGCAGCAGCAGGAGCACCGGCATCTGCAGGTTCTCTGCTTACAGCTTTTGTGTGGCTGCAGCCTGCAAGCCGTGGGCGATTATTCGGGACATATGTAACATGGCGATTATTCGTGGGCGATTATTCGGGACATATGTAACATATGTAACATGGCGATTATTCGTGGGCGATTATTCGGGACATATGTAACATATGTAACATGGCGATTATTCGTGGGCGATTATTCGGGACATATGTAACATATGTAACATAAGATGCTTGATGCCCCAAACATGCTAGCAGTAACGGTGATATCGATGTGGCGGCATTATTATTGCTTAGCGATTATTCTGTTGGGGACGGCTTATTTTACTACTGGCAGGTTATTATACATCACCACGATGTTAATGCGGCTCAGGATGAACGTGTTGATTGACCATTACTACTTGTGAAACACATGCACAACAACCCTATGCCTGTAAAACATTACGGAACAGCCCTTCCACCGCTGTGTACTAAATATGCAATGCATGAATGAATGCCATGGCGTTGGACAGATGTGTAGGATGCGCTAGGTGTAGTATCCTGGAGGGCATATCACGGGATCTGCATCTGCCGATCGGTACTTTTCTGAAGTCTGGCGTGATGTAAAACTAGGTAAACTCGTGAAAACGATTTTTACTCACTCATTTCTTTCGACATGGAAACTCGCTTGCCTTCAGTATTTGCCATGCTATGTCGCGTTGCAGCAGCAGGCAGCAATCAATTTGGTGCGTGCAGGTTTGTTTCACGCAAGCAATACATTTCTGCATTCCATGATGGTTGTTGTAGGTTGTAAATTGATGGGTGGTGCAGATGGTTGCCTGCAACCTCCCCAGTAAACAATCATGCACCCACATTATTTTTACGTTTGTATTACGCACCAGGGTTCGAGCAACTGGTGCTTGTCGCCCTTTTCGCCTCGACTCCTGCGTTCCCAGCAGTAGTCACAATTGCTTCTGGTGTTCCGAAGGAACGGGAGTCACCCTGATGTTGGTGCCCAGGATTATTCTGATGGTTCACACAACAGCCTTCTGTAGCTGCTGTAGTTATAGTGGAGTCTGCTGTTCCAGTCTGGATGGATCCCAGCAGAGTATTAATAGTCGTAGGAATCTTTGCTGAAGACTTAGCAGCATCCCGTGCTGCTGCTGCTGTTGTTGCCACCACTGCTGATTCATCAGCCGTAGGCATCAAACACAGTTCACCGCATTCGCTAGACTTGACGACTTGGTGAACATGGTTGCCGCCAGCGCGAGCAGGGATCCGAGGAAGGGCAACCATCCGGCACTTTGTAGATTCTAATGCCCTTATCGAAGGGAAAGCAGTTTTGCTTTGGACACCACCGCCGTCCAAGCTTCCAATCGCTGCATCTTTCTCCGCGGCCACCTCTTCTGCATCGCATTTGCCAAATGCGATGCAGATGCATCATCACAGACAGACAGTGTCGACAAAAACTCGGGTTAGCAGTCCCAGCTTAACAGGGCACACCTTCTGTAAAATGTTTGGTTGTCTATAGATCGATCTCTGGTATAAAAAATGACAAGGACCGTCGATTCTATTAAACCAAGGTGCGGTCTAAAGACGACCAAAACATTTAGACATGATGACGTCCTATTAGGCACGTCCCCGTTGGATCCCGCTGACGACAGAACGCATAAAGCACTGGCGGAATTGCTGAACATCTTACCAGCAGCAGGTGTCCGCGGCCGCGTGCACACCAATGGCGACGCGGTGGTTCGATTCTCTGCTATCTCTGCAGCAGATGGTGACTCGGCATGTCCGTCTTTGCTGTGATCTAAATTCAGATCGTTGGGGTCGCCGCAGCCGCAGCTAAGTGCCTCCAATCCCACCAAGCTCCTCGGAGATCTCCCAGATTGATGATGAGGGGACAGCGACCGGCGACTGATATCGTCTTCACGGTGTTGCGTGTCCAAGGCTCCCGCAACCTGGTTAGGCAGCTTGCACTCCCCCAAAGAATAAGGTTTCTGCAAGCATGGATGCCAGCAGTGCACACAACTGTTTGGTTTATCCCTATACCATATCCTTACCCACTTGTTTGTTATCATCATATGCGTGCTACTTTATTTGCTGTGAAAATCATTTAGATGCTGACGACATGCCTTGCGTGTTATCGTTTCCCCGGTTAAGATTCCCTCCTTGCTAGCTCACCTTCTCCTCCAGGTACCATCGGCACACCGTCAGCCACCAGAGCAGCACAAAGTAGGGCAGCACAACGCACGCCAACACGAACACCGCCAGGATGTAGCTGAAACGACGCTGTGTAGTCGCAGGAGCGCTGAGCGTGAGGCACGAATAGAAAATTATTGCTACCAGCAGTGGGCCTGAGTGCATCGGTAATATTAGGTGAAGATGATTAGTTTCCGTGATTAAGTGATAAATGGGCGCGGTAATAACCAGTTTCTTGACATCTAGGTTTTGCTGTACTTGCGCACTTTGCCAGGTATATCAATCGTTGTATGCTAGGATGGGCTGATCCAAAATTAGATGACATAGATAATGCGTGACCGTGTAGTATCTTGGGCTTATCACGGGATCTGCATCCGCCAATCGGTACTTTTCTGAAGTAGACCGATAGGCATCGACCGACAGGCAGCAGGGTGCGCACTAGCTCGCTTGGGTTGGCTCGCTCTATTCATTGGATACGTACGTACATACAATGGTACCATTGTTCATACGTTGCGCCGGTGCTGTAACAACGAGAACAACTTTGAAACTAATGGATACCAGCGGCAGCAGGCCGAGAGGAGGATAGAACCCGGGTCAGGACTGGGATACCGAGTCTCAATACCAATTGATTGTATCACGTCTTTTTGCAGAAAAAAACGATCTGCGGATCACAGATCCCGTGATACCCAGGATCCTACATCATGTATGTGTATACGCTGAAAGAAAACCTAGGATAAACCCTAAAGTATATATGCAATGACGTCTGTACGAAATGCGATATTTCCTACATGTCATCCGTTGTTAGTTAGCTAGCGTTATTTACAACAACAGCAGCAGCAGCATGCTAGCTACAGCACCGTGTCATCATCGCCAAGTCGTTCATGTCACCAGCAGCCAGGGGGATAATACATTGAAGCATTAACTTGTCACCTAATAACCAGCGACGGCAACATAAAGAGAGCCAACACCTAATAGACCCTACAAACGCGGAGGGGGGTTAAGAAACTTAGGAGAATGCTTAAGAACGATAAGAATGTCTGAAGAACACGGAGGCGTCGGGTGTGCATTCTTAAACATTCTTACACTGGGATTAAGCGGTTTTATGTAAGTATGTCATATAAGTATGCATTAAGAATGCATCAGCCATGAAAACATTCTGTAATGAATGCCTGATGGAGCTCTTATAGTTCCAGGATAGGTAATATATCACAGTGATTGTGAAACAGTGAACATACCATGAAATTTCATGAAAATCATGATTTTCATCTTGGAACTATAAGAGCTGTTGACGATCATCAACATGTGTCTAGGTCTAGAGCTTAGATCTAATAATGCGAGATCTAACAGGTTTAGACCTGTTAGATGGATTAGCGAGTTCATAGATATTTATGGCTACATCGATGGCTACACCAATGTAGCCAATAATTAAATCCCCTATCAATCACCATGAATATCTAGTGGGCCGCACTGCATATACATCAGTGTACACTGATGGAGGGTGTCAAATTGGCGGCCCATCCTTGCATTCTTGGGGAGTCTTGCCAGATGCATGAACATGCATCCTGTCAGTTGGATACATCCTACACCCTCTTTCCATATCCTCAAGCCAATGCTTGCTAACATCCCACACCCTGCTGACTGCATCCCCTCATCCTCTGCCATCCTCATCCTTGGTGGGTTGGTGTTGACTCTTCCTGGGTCCACATTTCTATCCTTCTCCTACCTATCCGTATCATGTGCTCGACCCTCCACTGCATCCTGACTGAGCATTCTGCCACCAAGGGGACGCTTGGTGGTTAATAATTAGCCAGGTGCAGCTGTCAATGAAGGTTTTGGTAAATTCGGTCTCCGGCACTCAAGGGACACCCAAAGGACACCCAAAAGACAGGGAAGAGACACCAAAGGGACATGGAAGAGACACCCAAGGGACATGGAAGAGACACCCAAGGGACATGGAAGGGACACCCCATTGGGTGTCCCTTGCAAGGGACACCCAAGCGACACCCAAGGGGCACGGGAGGGATACCCAAGGGGCACGGGAGGGATACCCAAGGGGCACGGGAGGGATACCCAAGGGGCACGGGAGGGATACCCAAGGGCACCAAAGGGACACGCGGAAGAGACACGCGGAAGAGACACCCAAGGGACACCCAAAAGACAGGGTAGAGACACCAAAGGGACATGAAAGAGACACCCAAGGGATACCAAAGGACACGTGGAAGGGGACACCCAAGGGATACCAAAGGACACGTGGAAGGGGACACCCAAGGGACACCCAAGGGACATGGGAGGTACACCGTAAGGGATAAGCTTCCTCCCCTTTGGGGAGAACCTTCGGTGTCAAAGGGGTGGCACCGGAGGATACCCTCCTGTACCACCCTGCCACCGGACGTTACCCTCCTGTACTACCTTGCCACCGGAGGATACCCTCCTGTACCACCCTGCCACCGGAGGATACCCTCCTGTACCACCCTGCCACCGGAGGATACCCTCCTGTACCACCCTGCCACCGGAGGATACCCTCCTGTACCACCTTGCCACCGGAGGATACCCTCCTGTACCAACCTGCCACCGGAGGATACCCTCCTGTGCCACCCTGCCACCGGAGGATACCCTCCTGTACCACCCTGCCACCGGAGGATACCTTCCTGTACCACCCTGCCACCGGAGGATACCCTCCTGTACCACCTTGCCACCGGAGGATACCCTCCTGTACCACCCTGCCACCGGAGGATACCCTCCTGTGCCACCCTGCCACCGGAGGATACCCTCCTGTACCACCTTGCCACCGGAGGATACCCTCCTGTACCAACCTGCCACCGGAGGATACCCTCCTGTACCACCTTGCCACCGGAGGATACCCTCCTGTACCACCCTGCCACCGGAGGATACACCGACAGTATCCTAGCACGGCAGGAATGTAGTAGGGAATCTCCGGCAGGTAGGCCAAGATGTAAGCTACCTGGGCGGGGTGCTATGGTGAGGCACTTAAGTATCACGACTACTTGGTGTTCAGAGTTCAAGACTCCGCTGCCACCGTCTCAGATTGTTTCGTACGGGTCTATGTATGCTAGTGCTTGTCGCTGGGTTGGACTTCTTCCTGCCTTAGCGAGGACTCTAAATTCCACGCTTCCGCAAAGCCAGTCGTCCGCCCAGGTGAGCGACTGCTACAGTTTCAGTAGCCCCAAACTCTTCTTGTGGGGGCTTGTAGAAAACACATGAGTCTGCCAGCCTCTCCATGGCAAGCAAGGATGCTTCCATTTAGATTCAGCTAAACATGGCAGTGGCCTCGGGGCGCCTCTTGTTTTTCATGCAGCTGCAGCAGCCAGGGATGGTGTTGGGCAGTGGGCTGCAGCAGGTATGTGGCCATCTCAGGCTGCACGCCAGGTTTTTGTACAGGGGCCAGGGCTGATAGCTGAGTTGCTGAACAGGTGTTGAGTTGTTTGTCGTACACGCACATATGTTCGTGTACGGCACTTGGCGCAGCTCACAGTATACGCACACGTTTTAGCATAGATAAAGAACTTATTTGTCTTGCGACGACTTTTAGCATCTTGAGGTGTCTTCTCTTAAATCATAGGTTTAGTGACAGAATTTAGCAATAAAGGTTTAATAGTCTTAGGTTCGATTCCAGCGAAATACACCTTACATGAATTTCAATGTAAGTATTCTTGAGATATCTGCGGAAACCCAAGTAAAGGGTGCTGCAATGTACTCGTGAGAAGGCAGAGATCGGAACTTGTGTCTGAATGGCTTTTTCGTCATACCACCCCTTAAGAATCCCACATTTTTAAGGCTTAAGAATGTAAGCAGCAAAAAGAATTTCCTGAGAATATGACTTAAGAATGAGTGCCATACTTAGCGAACGGTTAAAACCGTCCAAAGAGCAGCTAAGTATGCTTTAGACAAAGAATCAATAAGTTGGCCTAAGAACGTATAAGAACAACCCAAAGAATGGAAGAAAATACATAAGACTGCTGGGCCCTGAAGAATGCTAAAGAATTTGAAAGAACGGTTTTAAGATAAACGGAGGTCATACGAACGTTCTTAGAACAGTGTAAGAACGTTCTAATGATTATTCAATTTTATCAATTTGGCTGGGCTAAGAACGACTTAAGAACGTTCTTAACCCCCCTCCGCGTTCGTAGGGAGAGGTAGTGTAACGGATCAAACCCTGGGATGACGCCTCTGCATGATGATGACGAAGGGGGTAGACATCGAGAGACATCAAGGGATGGGCACACGGGATAGACATCAAGGGGATAGACATCGAGAACCTACTTGCCAGGGCCACCTCCATCCTCGGGAATTGCAGCACAGCCGGAAGATCTGGCCCCAAGTACAGGCGACAAAGGAGGGCCACCAAAGCGTGGCCGAGCATCACAGCGGCCAAAAGGACTACCGCAGTGCCGAGGGTATAAATCAAGTCTTGCGTGTTCACTCGGAGTGTCGGTTTCGCAGTGCTGTTGTTAGGTGGTGTCCCCGTGGCTGGCGGAGGCGGTAGGTTTGAGCTTCGGTAGTTATGGGAACCATTCTTCGAAAGGACCCGTCCACTGGGGTCAACCGCCAACACATCCACGCTGCCGTTTCCACTGGCTGCGCCCCCGATAACGTAGTTGTTCACCACAGTGTCGTTGTTTGTACTACTGTTATAGCTACTGCTGTTGTTGTTGTCCCCAGATGAAAATTGTGACATGCTCCACAGCCAAGCGATCAAGCTGTCCTGCTGCTTTTTGTACGTGTTAGCGGTCTCTCCGCTAGCTGCTGAAGAATTGCTGCTGGCATGTGCCGGCTGGCTACTGCCAATGTTGAGGCCCGTTGGCGGTGCCGAAGGGCTCAACGAAGGTTGTGTCTGCTGTGGTATCGGATTCACCACAGCCGCTGCCAAGGAGCGGTCCCGCCGATAGCGGCTGCTGCGAAAACTGGAAGCATAACTGTCATCGTTCAATGTTGAAAGCAACGCACGCGCCGTCGGTGCACCCGCTGGTCGGAGCGCTGGCGTTGGGAGCTGCGGTGCAGGTTTAGGAGTGCCGCTTGCAGATGACGACCACAGGCCCGCAGTGGCTGAGTTCACCTGGTCTGCCACCTTGACCTCCATCGGTTTGCCAAAGGCGGTATCCAGGATCGGGATGTTGCCCTGGATGCTCATGACTGACCAGCGCAGGTTACCCGCGACAAGACGATAGCGATGGCTGACACCAGGTGAAGCAAGGCTAGCAGTCATGGCCAGCAACTACGTGAGCCGGGGCAACAGGAGATCGTCTCAGTAGCGGTTACATGCACAGAGTCATGAAAAACCAGGCCAGACAGTAAGGCATGCACGTGCACGGGTTCACTGGAGTTCAAAAAGCATGGACGAGGCACAAATATGTGTAACTAGGAGAAACTGGAATATGGGGCTTACAGCATTATTAACGCGTCTACCCTCCGATGGAGTACCCCCACAGCCTATCACCCAGGCTACACACGCAGCCACCAGCCGCCGTGCCCACCTGAAAGTGGTACGCGTTTTGCAGCATGGAGAGGCGTGAAGTTAAGATTGACAGGGAGGATGCCGATGCCGCGGCGGCTGTGGTGGTGGAAAGAAAGCCGCTTATGAAGGTGCCGGCCGGCCCCAAAGTGCTCGCAGCATCGGCAGAGGATGACGACGACTGCATCACTGCACCCGGCAGCTGTGCCTCCAGAAGCAATGGCCTGATGACACGACGCGAAGTATTACAAAGATGTGCAAACTTAAAATTTACACGGATGGCGTCCCAAATGCGTGCGTGCTCATTAAGGTTTTGAAGGTGCGTCTATGAACCCATCTTTCATTCCTCATTCGGCATTAAAATATAAAAGCATATCGCTTGTTGGAAACAAGCTGGTAAGTATCAATACAGCTGTCACACAGGGGCCGCAGTGGTTGGGCAGCCGTTAAGACCCTGTTAAGCCCACGCGTCGCATATCCCATGCAGGCGCACATACGGAGGGGGCTATTGCACGTGCGTGCATGTTCCCCCTACATCGATCTATCCATACACGTGCTCGATCTATCTTCGACACGGCGGAAGCAGCATACGCTAACGAAAAAGGGCAGAGGTGCAAGCACGTGCCATCATATGTGGCACAGCCAACCATCGGATAGAGGATAGAGGAACGATGGATGCCACTCGAAGAAAAAAGGGTTCCACCATTCCGTAAAATCAGTTCCCTCCAACCCGTAAAATTAGGCCTTTACGGAATCCGTAAGTCAGCCACCGGACTACGTAAACGGACGCGGGCTGACGTTTTACCACATTATGGACTTGAGCTGAGGCACAGCCTTTTACAGAAGGTCCGCCCATAGCTTCATACGGAAGACACCGACGGTGGGAGACGCACTCACGAAACCGAGTACACACACCGACGTGGGGTTTGCTGCTGCGTTTGGCGGGTTGCGATGGCTTTATAGCTTGGTAACCGTTAAATACAATGCTTGTGCAATTGACACGCCCATATTTTCGTAATACATTCATATTATTAAGGCAATATCACGAATTACAGGTGTACATGAAAGCGCCCGGGGGTTTGAGCAGTAGGTCCCAACGCGGCACAGACGCACGGCCATTTACCTGGAATTCAGGTTGCCTGTGAAATCACGAACAGCGCCCTCTGGCAGCGTTACCGATGCCCTGCTGCCTTCTGGGGTGTACAACACAACCAGGCAAGACCGTACGAATGGCACACCAGATGCCACAGCATACTTCATGACCCCGTCTCCGAGCTGCAACAGTTTGCTGATAGCTGATGACGCTGCTGGGGTTGGCGGTGGCCCAGGGGGGTTGGGCGCCGTCACGGTGGCCGCCACCGTGGTCGGCGCGTCTCCCGCTATCTTTGCTGCCGTTTCAATGTCCTCAAAGCACTCCGCACGGAGGACTGATACGCTGTCACTGAGCTGCAAAGCTGTTGCCGTGTCAAATTTGTGAACGGGCTCGGACATATTAAGCAAAACCAGCAAGTATCGCACAGATGCAGCATTACCAACGCCGCTTTGTGCAGCTAGGGCTTGGCTGCCGAATGTCACTGTTGCTTTGGACACAGACAGCTGCCCAGAAAGCCGTGGAGGATCAATGTCCACCACCACCCAGCGCCACCACAAATTGGTCCCTACCTGAAATCAGTTAGGGATGTCTTAAGCTTGAATGCACGTCACGTACATTGAAAACGGTTTTCAACCAGACAAGGCAGGATCCTCCCATGCGGGAGCCCTTTTTCTCACCTCCATTCTGAAGAGGTAGTCGCCACTGCGCTCGGGCTGTACCATCCAAGCCGCTGCTGGGCTCTCCCCGGGTGTGACTGTGACACCCGTGTTGTTGCTGTGCCCCGGGTCTGTATTGTTGCTGGATGAGTCCCCGCCGCCGCTGCTCTCATTAGTTTGCTGCCCTGGCATGGACGACGTCGGCACAGTGGTAATATTCATTTCCTGAGGGAAAACGGGTAGAACCACACATGCAGCCGCAATGGGATAGAAGGGTTTTTGATGCACGCATGGTTCTTGTTCCTTATCGTTATTAGTTCGCAGCTCACACCCGAAGTATATAATAAAAAGAATGCTACGGTGGAGCTACGTGCCATGTCTCAGTGTGCCGATTGGCGGACGCAGATCCCGTGATATGCCCTCCGGGATACTACATAGGGCTGGGGGCTCTTGCTCTTTATCAACGCTGTCAGCTTCTTGCTCACCCTTAGGCCTCCAGGGAGCGCTATCCCTGTTGGATTCATGCCAAGCTGGAATAGGTCGTCAATTGATGGCAGCTTGGGCTGTGCTGCAGGACTCGGGCCATCCATTGTGCCCGAACCATCATCTCCGGATACGTATCCGCCTTTTGCCGATTCTGGGGCTGAAGGTGATGATGAAGAGGTGTAAAGCGTTGATGCACCGCGCTCCAAAATAATGTACGACACACGGCAACCACAAAGCTTGCAGTACGCTGAACCACCGTGAAGAACCGAGATAGCGATGTAGAATGGGCCTCTAGAGATGGAGGGAATGGCGAAGCTGACCTCCTTTATGGCAAGAGAGCAGTTGTTGTACATGATGGGTGAGGGCGGTAACGGCATGCTGCTGGGAGGTGATGGTGGGGCATTGGATGGTTGTGGGATACTTGGTGCTGGTTGCCTGCTGCTACTGGTTGGCGGCGATCTGATTGGTGGAACTCTGCTAGGCGCTGGACTGGGTGAAACGGAAATCGGAAGTCTGAGGGGTGAAGGCGGCAGCTGTGGTGTTGGAGGTCTTCGAGGAGGGAGTATTGGGCGAGATGACCATGCACCGCTCCATTTAGATGGAAAGTTTGGTTGGAATGGTGGTTGCTTTGGGGCATCTGGAAAGAGCGGTAAGGTGGTAATCCTCCAGGGAGACCTAGGGGAGGTGGGTGGAAGAATTGGGGACCTTGGCGGACTTTTTAATTGCGGTGCATTTGGAGGAAGCGGAGGAGCAGCAGGAGCTTCCGGCGGTTTTGGCATAACTGGTGGAATGGGCGGCCTCGGATCTGTTGCCGCCGGCCAGAAGGCGGCGCCCTCCCGGTCACAGAAGTCCGCACGCTCATACCATTGGCCTGAGTAGTCCCACGGGCCATTTGTCCCAGAGGGACCTGTGATGGTGTAGTTTCGGGCTGCAAAGTTGTCACTGTAGATGTCCCAACAACACTTGCCATCAGGTGCAATAACGTTGGTGTAGCCAGCTGTATGTATGTCATGGTGGCCCAGACACGAAAGTTAGATTTACATGTCAGTGGCATGTGACTAATAGCAATCGTCTGTAAAATTGATGAGGAGTGTCTATAGACCGTCTATTTTGAGGTCTATCCGTCTATTGTACCATGGCATGATCTGTGGACTAATCTATACCATGAATCTGTGTACAATCTAGTGTGCGTGTGTGTGTCTGTGTGTGTGTGTCTGTGTGTGTGTCTGTGTGTGTGTCTGTGTGTGTGTCTGTGTGTGTGTCTGTGTGTGTATGCGTGTGTGTGTGCGTGTGTGTGTGTCTGTGTGTGTGTCTGTGTGTGTGTCTGTGTGTGTGTGCGTGTGTGTGTGCATGTGTGTGTGTGCGTGTGTGTTACATGGTTGGGGGTGCGTGACCCCATACCTGTAAAACTACCCATACGAGCCGAGGGCCCAAGGGCAATATCTATACGCCTAAAAGCCACAGAGAACAGGAAACACCGCACATCAGCCTAGCGCCCAAAGTGATCTATTTCTCGTTCCTATCGATGACCCTGCTGTCCATAGACGACCAAAATTTTACCGAACATGGCATGACGCCGCGTCAGGTGCGCCAAGAGAAAGATTGCGTGCTACCCATATGCAGAAATCATTTTATGTTACAACTAAATGGGTTTTCTGCACACGCCAATATATTTTTGCACCCGGTTACATTATTAAGCTTGTCCGCAAGGCGTGTCAGCGTAAGTTAACGGATCCTATAGAAATTGGACTCCACACTCAGTGAAATGTGTATTGGATATGTGGCTGGTTAGCAACTCCGAAGCCGGTACGTCGGGCTATGGCAATCTGTCTAGGCGGGGTGACACGTTGATCATACTATTAGCAAGCGGGCTGGTTAGGGGGTTTTACCCCGGGGGCTTTACCTGCGCCGCTGTATTGCCTAGCCAGGGGCTGGGAGAGTGCCCCGGCTAGTGTGAGTGAGGGAGTGAGGTGCGCGCGGAGGAACAGACGGGCGTGGAGCCGCGCGCCCGTCCCTGCGCTGTGTTTCGTGTCCGGTCAGGGCCCCCGGTGCTCGTCCTTTATCGGGACGGGCCGCCCACAGTGTAACATCCCATCAACAACTCTTGTGGGCAACAAAGGCAGTATGATAATAATCACAACAATAATAAGAACGTTATAAATAATCAATGCACGAAGATCTAATACTATTGCTGCTAGCTATCGCCTCTGTGCGGAGTCAGGCAAGTAAGCTTATGCATGAAGGCGGGCGATGCAGATGCATAAAAACCTCAAGACACCGCTGCTCACCCAAGTATTGAATGAGGTCGTGTAAAAACACATATAGGCGCTGACTGAGTAGGATGCATGCTTGCTTTAAATCAGATGTTGGAAGTGGGAATTCGGGATGCCTGACTTGGCAACTAACGCCGCCCTTGTTCACCTTCGCCGGTATCCTTGTCGTACCACTGCCAACCAGCGCCACTTAGATCGAACATCGTGATATTGTAATGAGGAATGTAACTTGAACTTTTAGAATAATACCCATAATAGTGAAATCGATGAAGAGGAACGTTCCATAAATCTTGTAACTTATCTTGATACTGGCGAATCCTGTACGACACAATTCTGGGGCAATCCAAGGGCGAAAAAGCATGCCAATTCGTAACATAGATACGTCTGTTGCCTGATGGCAACATACAAACCAAAGAGCAATACTAAATGAATGTTTGTATTCCTTAAATAGAGACAACGAAGTACTGAAATGCCAACAAGACCTGGCTGGCACCGCGGACGATAGATAAGCATGCCAAGCATGCAAGGTCTGCATTGTTGCATGCATGCACGGACCTGCACCCGCGTATACGCTGTAGACGTGCATGCATGCACAAACACACATACGTTCATGTTTGTGCATGCATGTACATACTTTCATCTGCACATACTTTCATGCGAGCATGTTAATACCGGAAGCCCATAACTCACCGGTGCCAGTCTCTACAGACGTTTCTGTGGCCTGTGAGGTTGCTACACGCGTATACGCACATGCAGGAGTGACATGCATGTACATGCACGCAGCAGCAATAGGATCCATGGGAGCAGGGGCAGCAGGGGCAGCAGGGGCAGCATTTAAAAGACTATTAATTTGCTTGGAACGCAGCAGGTGCAGACTTCAAACTCGCGGTTTGATATATGAATCGATATACTGCAGTATATCGATAGCACATAGCGCAGTAAGGGTAATAGCGGTAGGTTGCTAGTGATGAGGGCGATGGATGTTGAGTGCCAGTCGTGCAAGAGGCTGCCAATTGTGCAAGAGGCTGCCAACTGTGCAAGGGGCCTCGATCGCTCTAGTGTGCGAACAAAGAAAACAAGCTATGAAAAGCTACATATGTATAGATTTTAGTTAGCTCTGTTAGCGCTTCAGTGAGTCGCTGGCTGCTGGTTCGGTCGCTGCTGCATGTCATCCTTGCTTACATTGTCCTCAGCTTGGTCATCATCAGCCAGGTGCTGGGAATGGGGCCGACGATGAGGCCCTGCCCCATGTCGTCACTCAAGTCCCTGCAATTAATACAAACCGCACCAAACATCTGCATCACGCTGTCCATTCAGATCTCAATAAACAACACATTGTTATTGTCGACACGTGTCATGATGTGCACACTTGTGCGCTCAGCATGCACTACTCGCATGCACTACTCGCATAGTGTGAATTACTCCCCGATGGATGCTTAAGAACCTGTTTGTGATCTGTGGTCACCAACCCCTTAGCGCCATAGAACGTGGCCGCAGATTTATGGTGGCTGTGACACGGGCAGATGCATCCAAAAGTCCGGGTCCGAATCTCGTTGAAGAGGCCATTCGTGATGCAGTAGTAGATTTCTAGGTGCGTATTAGGAGTTTTGCATCTTTGGGTTTGCCTTCATAAGGGTGGTCTGGTGTCGGTCCTAGACACCCCATTCTTCGTGTTGTCAGGGATGTTCTCTTGTGTGAGGCTCCACATGAATCTGTATTTCATATATAGCTTTTCTTATTTCTTGCTTTATCAGTACTAGTCATAATCTTTCCTAATCGCTGGGTGCCTTCGGCTATTGTGTGTCCATATTTCTTCAGCCGCGGCTTGCTGTTGCTCTGAGAGTTGCCTCTCTTTGGAGCTGATACCTTCTGCTTCTTCTTGACGGGCCTTTAGGCTACATCCCTCTTGAGTAGTGGGTGACAAAGTCAACCGATAACGAGTCTCTCCAACTTCGGGGTGAGCTGTCTTGCTGTTCAAGGTGTCTTAAGGTTTCCCAGTGCAGTGCATGATCCGTTGTGGCACGATGGCCCTACCTACGGTAATCCCTAGGGGTCTGGGGCCCGCTGTAATAGCTACTGCTACTGCTACTGCTACTGCTACTGCTACTGCTACTGCTACTGCTACTGCTACTGCTACTGCTACTGCTACTGCTACTGCTACTGCTACTGCTACTGCTACTGCTACTGCTACTGCTACTGCTACTGCTACTGCTACTGCTACTGCTACTGCTACTGCTACTGCTACTGCTACTGCTACTGCTACTGCTACTGCTACTGCTACTGCTACTGCTACTGCTACTGCTACTGCTACTGCTACTGCTACTGCTACTGCTACTGCTACTGCTACTGCTACTGCTACTGCTACTGCTACTGCTACTGCTACTGCTACTGCTACTGCTACTGCTACTGCTACTGCTACTGCTACTGCTACTGCTACCCACATTCTATTTCCTGCGTATATGTTGTAACGCAAGTGTAATAAGTGATGAGGCTTTGGTTGAACATGCATGGATTGTTAACCATGAGATGAATATGTAATGAGCCATGGCACGCACATAAATACATATGACGTGCGAGAAATAATCTTATGAATGAATAGCATTTGGCATGATCCTGTCGGAAAAATAAAATTGCACGCTATGCAAAGTTGAGTAATGGTAAACGAACATAATTGCACATAACATTGAAAGCAGTCGTTCATTATGAATACACATCCTGGCGCAGAGCTTAGGCATTCCAAACAAATTATTCTTTGCTACTCACTACTCACAGGTATTCCAAATTGCGCAGCAGAGCCCATTCCGCAGGCAGAAAGCCCTTGATCACTGGCCGGCCTTTCCACGCTTGTGCTGGATGGCTGCCATCGTTCGTGCGCTTAATGGTCAGGCGCTTGAGAGTATCAGGCAGAAAGGGGCGGGCGACAACCGGGTCGGGTACTGGAGGCTGCCAACCTTTGGGGAAAGTCTGGTTGCCATACTTGATGTACTCGAGTGCCCGTCGAAGCTCATCACTCCACTCCAGGCGTGCCCGGCCGGACCATCTGGTCAAAAACATTTTGGGTAGGCGAAGATGGAGTGATGCATACACACATAAAAGCAAGTAATAAGCGAGACCTTCATGTGCATCGGTGCGGCAAACGAACTTAATTGTAGGCCAGCAAGTAAGCCTCTGCTGCCACTGCATGCACGACACACCCTTGACACGTGCTCTTTTCTGCCTCCATATAATATAATACACCCTGCACTTACAGCACCGCGGCTGTATATATATTTAGCTTATGCACGTATGCAGCTAGCTAGTCTGGGTCGGTGCTGCTGAGCTCAGCTTTATTTTTCTAGACTTTTCCGATATGTATATTTATTATATTTATTTCCTATGATATTAAGGCAATATCGATCGTGCCCTAGCATGTATAATTATAATAGATAGGGACGGTCCTTACCAAATACACCGGTGTATTTGGTGTGGCCTGCAGGCTGGTACCGGGCCACAAACTATAGACGATACGAATTTACAAATAGACATGCCTGCTTAAGCAATTTAGCTAGCTGGTTAACCTTGCCGATAGATGATGTAGGCGCAATTACGCAAGCATGTACCATAGCATGCACGCTTGACATAATAAATAATGTGATATCAAACACATTTGTTCGGGCGGTGTGGGGTGATGCATGCTTGCGGGGCCCATACGTTCTTCCTCATTACATATTAGCCGACATAGATTTCACCTCATGGCGTTGTGCTCCATAAACGGCGAGAAATAACACTTCTCCAGGGCAATGTTGCGCAGCGCCAAATTGGGGTTGAGGCTTGAAGTGCTTCGCTGTACTGATGCTCGGCCCACGCCACAAGGATCTGCTCCAATGCAAGCATGCGTAGCGATCGAGTGGTAGAATGCAGGGTCAATAATGGCCACGCAGGCGGGTGTTGTATCACGTCTTATCGTAGGAAAAGAACCGATCGGCGGATGTCAATCCCGTGATACCCAGGATACTACAGCGGGGATGAGGGGTGGGTCGTTTGGACCTTGTGCACACATCCACGTACACACGCGTGCATTATTCTGGCGGCGCGCATCTGCTGTCAAGCGATCAGCCATAGGCCCCACTCACATTATTACCTACCGAGCATCATCTGAAAGTAGCTTCTTGTGCTTTTGTTAGTGGCTCCCTCTGGAAACCCGAAGTCACTTAAGTTATATGATTCACCATTCCTTCGGTCGCAATTCCAGGTTCTGTACTCCCACCTATGAGGGATTAGTATTTCCAATTTGGAGTGGGTACGGCAACCTTCAGTACTACTCAACAAACATACATTATTCAATTATTGCTGACGTTGTTGGGAATGGTGAGGCCATGTATGGTTACTTGTTGCATTATTTGTGTATGCATGTGTATGTATGGCACCAACACCTCAAGCGGCAGATCGTGACATTATAGTAGCTGGTACATAGTATGGCACACATATCGTCTACAATTTACGTGTTAACGAAGGCGCTCCGTCAGCATCTTGAGAGACCTTTTCAGCGGCCAGCTACTACCTGTAGCTACAGAAATACTCTTTAGCCGAACTACGGAGTATGGCAGTGAGCGAGCATAATGACCCCAGATAACCCCTGATCGGTCCATTAAACAAACCTGCCTAGATGCTTTTACTGGCCATGCTGAAGGTGTTTACTACTTGCTCCTATTTATGGTAGTGTGTAAGTGCCTTACATGTCAAATGTAGTTCCATTGAGTCCTCTTCGATCCGGCACGACGGTGAATCCCTCGTACTCAGGACGCAAATAAACGTCTTCAAAGTAGCTGGGTGAGTGCGAGCATGGATGGAGCGAAGGAGTAGGGGTAAAGGATGGAACCAGGAACATCCAAATGTATGCATGGGCAGATGCATCTGTATGCACAACAACGGCGTGCTGTACAAATATGGCCTCAACATTACTGTATAATCGAGAAACCTCGCTGCACAGCATTTGCAGCAGCCTGATGCAGATGCTCTCGTGAGACCTGAAAGGTCTCTCAAGAAACATTCAACTAACAACCTTTGTTCCGCGTGTACTCAGCCCAAATGTACAGGCAATATGTAAAAACTTATTTTCAGGTTTTTACTCACAGTTCCTCCAGGGGCAGGCACACCAGGTCATCTATGAGGCTGAACTCGGGGGGCTCGGTGATGTTGACTGAAGGATGGTGCCATGCAGGAGCATGCCGGAGGGAGCTGTACAGAATGTGGGGGGGGGGGTTGCCAGGGCGAGGTGCATGCACGCATGCATGCGGTATATACGCCAGGTTATATGCATGTAGCGACGAGGGCTCTAAGGGGAAATGCGTACATGGCGGGGCGGGGCGGGGCGGGTAGTAGGTAGACGTACAAACACGTCGCAGCAACACGTACATAGCCTGCTGCCGGTGGGCGACCGTTTAACTTACGTTATAAGAAGAACGGCGAGTACATGAGGACACACAGGAAACATGGTGATTTCCGGCATAGCCCAGCATATACTATCGCGCCATGAGACTGTACGTGCAAACCCAATGGGGTTTTGCTTGTGTTGACCATGTATCTTAACCTACAGTCGATTTACGACGTTGCGTGTGACGTTTCCGCTTTTGATGGCATTGTAGAACATTATTCTCCTGGCAGTGTCATTGCGGTACGACGCGCCATTCATGGAGAAGATCGTTACATTATCGACCCGCTTGCATGACACTGCCAGTAAGGGGTCGTCGGCACCGAGTGGTGGAGGGACCCCTCGTGCAGAATACACATTGAAGTCGCACACACTTGGTCGCGGTTCCGTGGTACTCCTGCAGGCAGGCGAATAATAACCAGCTAACCCTGTGATGACGGGGCCCTGTGCATGGCGACGGCTTGGCACGCCGCAAAAAGCCAGCAACGGTCAGAGCGTCCGTTTGTGCCAGTCCTGATTTGTCAAATGGCCCTCATCCTCACCACCCCGCATCATGTTGGTGTAGCTCTAGCCGCCGACGTGCTCATCAACAGCACGCACAATAGTAGTCGTGGTCTCGCATACGCACGTCCATAGGCAACCCTACCATAACTCATACCCAACCCAGGTATGGGAAGATTGCGGATGCAGTACGTACATCTACCTATGCCAGAATCACACCGATTGGGGCACCCACGGACGCAGGCCCACACAAACCAGGAAGGGTAGATGTGGCACCAAGGCGCCACGCCATTGGGCCACAGTAGTGTCGAAGTATTAAATCTATACGACTGATCAAGCAGGTTGATTGCACAACAGTTGGTGTTGGGATCACCGTGGGCGGCACCTGCATGCACACCAGCGGTTGGTGCATAATGTGAGTGCAGCAGAGGGTAGATTGGAACGGCGGCAGCAACGCATCTTCGTTTATTGATGAGACAACCCTGTCCTTGATGAGCTCCTTACTACCCTTGCTTCCTTCCATCTAGCCGTGAACAGTCCCAGTGAACGTTTACACACGCGCATAGCTAGCTGGACCTAATGGGTTAACCAGTTCACGTGCAAGCAGGTACGTGCGTGTCCTTTGCACGCGCCCAAGAGTTCATTCCCCCCGCTCATTCATCAATTAAGCAAGGCGCTTCCGTCCTGCATGCAAGCATTAGACCGTAGTAAAATACACGCAAGCTAGTTTTCATGATGATCTGAGCCGCGATTTATGTGTACATACATGTGTGCTGGCTCCAACACCATTATTGTAACAACAGCGCAACTGTGCAGCTAGGCAGCTGCCTACCCCTTGCAGGGGTAAAGCGTTGAAGTCTCGCTCGGAACCGCATATAGCTATTAATGTTGAACCCACCTGCTGGGATGCAGTACCTCCAGAGAAACAAGCCGGAGCAATCAGGCATACAATCCTCCAACGAGCTGAAAGACAGAACAGTGCATCGAAAAATGCAGCGCCAAGGTGCAGTTCCGAATCCTACGCGGTAGGCCACCTCAGGTCGGCTCCAAAAGCTGGTGTTGCCGGTAAGGATGAAGCGGAGAAGGGCCTTATCTGTGGAGCAGATGAGCACGTATGTTGCATCATATATGTGTGTTATGTGGTTGGTGACGTAAGAAGAGTTCGCTCCCTTGGCATCTCCCTGAGTACTCTTTGCCTGGTGTTATATTGGTGCGAACTGCTAGGGGGTGGGATGTCCCCGGAGTGAATCCGGTTGGGAGCATATCGCACACCAGGCACGATCCAACATACTCTTACCCCAATGGTGGATGCCCGGGTGGGCAAGAAGTCTACCAGATGAGTAAAAAATAAAGACCTCCAACTAGGACGGGAACTAACATAACTGTCATGTATCCATAAATCCTACGGGATATGCCCCGGGGCGCCCTTTGGATGTTCACTCCGCCGTGCGTGGATAGTCAGTATAGATAGTAGCTTGAGCGAGGTAGGTGGTTGAAGCAGGGCGCTTCATCAGCAGTGTTTTTTTTTTGGTAATATATTACTTTTTTGGGAATAAATGGGGGTCTGAGCCTGGAAGAAATGGAATAATTGGTCAGTTGGCCGTGCTGGTTCATTACTTCGGCCATAAGTCGCCCCAAATGCCTTCTGCACATATAAAGCTGAACATTTGGAGCTTATACACTATTTATGTATGAAATATTTGATGATATCACCATGAGACGGCCCGCTGTTGCATTCAACTTAGGTCAACGGGGCATTCGTTCATTCTTGACCAAAGCAAACGGCTCAGACAGTCCGCAGACACAATGCCCCAAACATTTAGAAGAAGAATTAGATAATACAGAAGACAAGGATAGGCATGCCGTAGTTGCCGCTCTTGAAGTCAGTGAAGCCAGCGATTTGAGTGAAGCTGAGGATCCCCAACGCACAACTGCAGCAATCAGCGACTCAGCTGAGCAGCTTGATCCTGATGAGGAAGGGCCACCGCCCCAAGATGTCGCCACGGCACCACCGCCACCTTCAAGGGCGGGTGCTTCGCAGCACGCACCGCTGGTTATTCAAAAGCAGGCGCGGCGCCAGCAAACACAGCGTGTGCCGAAAGGCCAAAGCGACGGGAGCTGGCGGGAGAATGAGGGAGTGCGTCGCTTCCAGGCGCACTGGACAGCTGACAGAGACACTGGCGCAAATGCAGTTAGGTGCACAGAACGATGGTGGTACGGCATGTGTGTTTCCAGACGTCAGATGTTGTTTACAGCACACCGTACAGCCTTTGAGGGGGGGGTCTGGGGGGGGCGCAGCCCCCCCCAGCGACTATACAAAAAGGAATTGCAACCGCAAGAAACACCCAATTTATTACTCTAGGGTATTAGGCCCCAAACGAAAAAAAAAACACTGTTCATCAGCCATGGAATGATTAGCCATACATCCCATTCGAGGAAGCAGATGTTGACATGAGGGAGGTGGTTAGGTTCTAAGTGTTAAGACCAGCAAAGCGCCGGACCCCCGTTGGGTCCTATTACTGTGGCTACCATTGACTGGGTATATGAGTGTCGGTCATTTCCAACAGTGAGCGAGGGAGTCAATGCTTGCATCACCGATGGACCGGCTTAACAGGGAGCCGCACCAAATGGAATATTAGGCGTTCGGATTTGGATGTATGCACTGGACTGGATAGCATGTGGCTTGGATAGGATGTGGCTTGGATAGCATGTGGCTTGGATAGCATGTGGCTTGGATAGCATGTGGCTTGGATAGCATGTGGCTTGGATAGCATGTGGCTTGGATAGCATGTGGCTTGGATAGCATGTGGCTTGGATAGCATGTGGGTTGAATGTGGTTTCATAAGTCTAAGAGACTCCCTTAGATTGGATCTAGTTATGCACGGCTGTCCAAAGGCCGCGGGGAGGTTTCTCACTGAGTCAGAGATGAGCGGCAACAGATAGACCGCACTCTATCACCGCCTATCGTTGTGGATAGGTCTGTTGCTGCGGAGCGGGATGGTTGGCGAAGACCACGCGTACATCCATGTTCAGCTCTGATTATATGTAGTAGCTATTACACAGTACGGCACACATATCAACTATAAGTACGCGTGAAGCGGTTGACCAGCATTTCCCGATCGGGGGGGAGGTCCACGCCAGTCCGTCATGCAGTCCGACTGTGTGCGACGCAGTGCGAAGCGCTTGACCAGCATCTTGGGAGGCCTTTTCAGCGGCCAGCTATTACATTATACTATATAGTATGTGTGAAGTTATTACTTCTTAGGGGGATTTAGCTTCACCGTGGCCACTAGTCCGGCAGTCCCAACGCCCCAACGTCCCAATGCAGACTCCTAGGCCTGCAAAGTCCGAGACTTTTCGGCTTCAGCACCCGCCCACCACCTGCATCCAGTGTAATGCGTCGGAACACGACAGCATCGACCCCAGTCCTGGTCGGCTCGCAGGTCACTATAGCCAGCGGGTCCGTCACCGTCCATCATTTCGGCGGCGCATCCACCCTTTCATATTCAAGGGATTTCTATTCCGCTGGTATTGATTTTAAAGAACCGTTCTATTCCATCACTGGAAGGTGACCTTCCGCGCAGGAGGATTGCTTTGCCGCACCTTAGCTAGCATATTTGCTGATGTGTGGGACAGGGGGGGCATACCTTCACCCGTGGCCGCTACCCGGCGAAACCCTGCCTTCCCCGGTATTTCGGGGCACCCTCATCTATTCATCCTAGTCAACTTGTGGATCGCTCAGATTCCACACCCACCAGCGGCATCCAACGGAATCTGCCAGATCGACGGCGGCTCAACTCGACTCCTGATCAGCTCTCATGTCAATTTTATCCCAGGTCACCACCGTCATGGACTGGGGGCACATTACCTTCGACCATCGTACGGATTTTCGAGCTTGACAGGTCTCAATCCCGAGATTTCCCGGGGGCATTGGTGCGTGCTCTACCAGTTGCGCCTGGCATGACCTGACCTGATATTTGCTGTGTCTGCTGGAGACATGTCTATGTATACTCTATAATGTTAGCTACCAGTCTCATGTCCAGGATTAATGCCGTGTGCGTGTGAATGGTCGTTTATGCGTGGCGCAACGATGCATGCACGCACGGCCTTACTACTGCAACCATACGTACGTTGCTCGTTCAAGTCCTCCGTGGCATTCCAAGGACCGTACGCTGCTGGCGTCGTCAGCGACTGGTTCCTCTGTGCAAGAAGTCTCCACGAAAGGACTGCCAAGCAGCAGAACACCAGAAGCGCACCTGAAACACGGTGTGTACCAATTATGCTTCTGAAAGTGACGAGGAAGACTCTCTGCATGTGCATTGGCCCAGTTTTGCCCCTTTAAAAAAACTTTCATCGTCGCAGCTCCTATCAGCTTCATGCCCTAAATCCCAGGCGTGTGCAGCAGGCCGCAGCAGGTACTGCCGGAAACGCCCCCAGAGCATACATGCGGCGTGCATGCGTGCATATTTATGTGCATGTGCATGTAGATAGAGTACGCACGCCTAGGTAGGGCATAAACCAGTTGATCATGCTCCGTCTTGAGCGCTGAAGGCAGGCGTCAGGTGTGCCAAGGCGCATGCAATTGTATGTGCAGGACGGCTAACTGATTGGAAGGGCCGAGGACAGGACATGTGGCTACAACAGCCGCCCGCCCAGATGTGCTATTTTAGTTCAAAAACAAAGCCAATATCCAATTGGTAACAACTGACGTACTTATAAAAGATATAAATTATATTACCATAGGTATTGTTAAGTATATGCGCTTGCGTAAAATCACCACTACTGCTGCATGGCTCAGTCCGTCCATTCGCCTTCGCGCGCTGCAACCATACATGCATTACGTGTCTTATTCATACATTTTATAAATAAATATAATTACATTACTTACCCACGGGATGACTTCGTGGCATGTGGCCGTGCTTTCGTTTCTGTGCGTGCCTCTAATACGCAAGCAAGGTCGGCAAGGTAATAATAATAACCGAATACAACTCCATTCCATGCATGCATTCTGCTGTGTGCGACTATGGGGCCTGAAATATTAATGCAAATTATATATATGCCGCTTCGCAGGCGGGTGCATCGTAAACAAAATATCCCATTGCAATTAAAAAGAAGGTGGCACGAGTTAGCCTACCCATCAATTTTATTTGACCGGCATGCATTTTCCGTTTGGCGCATGTATACTTGCGAGCTGACCAGGAACTAAGTTGATGCGCCGTTGATCCGCTAGATTTGGTTGGATGCTGGTGGTGAGTTGCCGAACCCAACGAATACATTCTGAAGTCGGATGGGGTGACGGATTAGGGTGCCCCTCTAGCAGGGGAGAGCAGGGACTGCCCCGGGAAAGGGGGCCGCTGGCGAAGTTAACCACCCTGTAACAACATACTGCCGGTGTTTCGGAGGAGAACGGGTGGATTGCAACGAAGCGTGAGGAACGGCGGTGAACGCACCACGCATGATGGTATTAATATAATCCTGCCTTCATGTGTATGTAGGCGATTGCTCCTCGTTCGTCGGTTGGGGAACTAATCAGTGAATGAATGCCAGACGCGTATGACTATTTGCTTAGTATGGTCGAACCCAAGTGCGCCTGCTTGCATTGTACGTTCCTATTTGAGTGCAAACATTACTTGACACAAGCTGATGATGGGCTGAGAAATGCCCTCTACTGTAACACAGCAAAGGCGTAACCCGGGATGCTCAGATTGGCATTTGCGTCGTTACATTGCCCCCCACTTAGCAATGGACGTCCTCGGCCATTATTTCGAGCACAGGAGCCATCCCACCTCGCGCCAGTGCGCTGGTTTATCCATTACACCATGAAATCGCCAATTTGCGACTTGCTGGTTGCCAGAATCGAACCGCCGACCCGAAGTTTATTTCGGAATTCGTGCGGTCCCGTCTCGATACCATTGTAACACAGCAAAGGCGTAACCCGGGATGCTCAGATTGGCATTTGCGTCGTTACATCTACCTGCCTAGCCAATAAAGCCTATAAACTACGAAGAATTCCAATACACCCGCACACAGGCGTTAATGGAGCCCCACGTATTACTCGTTCCATTATTCGACAAGCAATAGTAGGATCTGTAATCGCTAGTTGCGAGAGTTAGCTGTTATAGAAGCATGGCATCTGAAAAAAGTTCGGTTGTCCGGCGACCAGAGTCCGATAAAGTCTATAGATCGCACCGTGGGTTCACGTGATTTCAATTTTCTTTCGAAAGAAGATAGAATGGTCTGGACGTCCACGGAGGGTCCATGCTGTCTAATTGACCAGCAGGGGCCAAACTATAGACGATCAAATATATTTCAGACGGGAGCGCCTTCAATAGTAGTACATTAGGTAGTTGATACGTATTTATTTTACGATATTTGAGTAGGGCTCCCAGGACGCCTGTGGATACTGGAATTCCAGCAGTCTGCAGAAACAGCAGCAGCGGCAGGTTAACATGCTCGTTCCATATTCACGGCGACATGTAACGTAATATGTGTCTATCGTATACGATTACGTAGGTCACCTGCCTCGCAAATCTTTCGAACAATATGCGAGCTGATGTGAGCTGCAACGTATGAAGACATTGGAGTTGTATAAGTGACACATGTGTGACGTACGGCACCGATGCATAAGACGGAATTAAATCGTAATGCCAGAAGGTTGCTGGCCGTACGCGCAGGAAGTGCGCCATGTAATTTAGTGACAACTCTGAGACCCCAAGCAAACGCAGCAGCATTGGCAATGTACGTATATTTTACTGCAGATTTTACTACTTCATGAAACTACTTCTTGCATCTTGTTGTTAATGTTACAGCGGGCTACCAATCTTCTATGCCTGTGAATGCCTGAAAGAAAGCCGAGCGCGCCTGTACGTAGAGCGTCCACATACGTATCGCTCGACATTTGCCTTTACTGCTTAGTTTCGGGAACCGGCGCATCGACATTTGTCCGCGCCGACATGTAACGCACTATAGCGCTTCTCAGAAATGGAATGACATGTCAGCATTCAAGTGGACAACTGCTGCTTCATTCGGTGGGTCGACAACTTCAAGTAGTTATTTTTAGTAGTAATCATAATATTACGTACGGGAATACTGGGCTGTCCAACCTTGCTTGCTAACATAATTCATCCACTTACAAGGCCCACGCACGCAAATTACGCTCCGCCGAGCAAAATAATGCAGTTCGTTTGCCAGCAGCATGGAATGGAATGATGATGTGCGCGGACTGAACATACCCTTCGCACCCTTCCACAGCATGCATGGATACATTCACATGCAGCTTTTTGGGTTATGATTACGGCACATCCCTCCTTTCCCTAATGTCCTTACGTTATAAGGATCCGGATTCAATCCGGATTTCAGCTAGCATGCCCAACTTTAAGTGCTCCTGCTGATACTGACGATGTTCGGCCTGGTGCTAGCTATACATTTTACGCTGTCGAATTACACACCTCTCACATTGTACATCTGTCGCGCTACTGCTGCAGCTTACATGGGTATACAGCTACTGCCGGCGGAATGATATCCGGAAGAAGCTTAAGGCTTGGGACGACAGACGGCAAGCAACCTCGCAAGCCCGCTTTTCACTTTCAAGCTTGCGACGTTGCTGCTTTTCCGCTATTGGTGTGCTGCTGCCTGTTAGTAGCTCTCAATACCCAAGTGGTCCAAACACAAAAACTACCTCCGACACCTTACGGCCCTTGGAGTGCATCGCAAGACTTGAACGAGCAACGTACGTATGGTTATTAAAAAGGTTGTGCGCTACATAGTAATGTAGGTATGTACATGCATGAACCATGCTTGTACAGGGAGTAGTGCGCATAGCAATCATCTTAAGCGAGTCAGGAGCGAGCCTGCTGAGTTGTCGTAGGGTTCTATGGTCGCAGCTGTTGAGGCGGTCTTCTAAATTGAGCTTGAGCCATTACATGGTCTACTGAGCAAATAAATTTAGTCACTAATAACCTCACTTACTTAGAAGGCCATGACAAGGCGGATATATGTATCATGGGGCCGGGAGGGGTCTTACCAAGCAAGGCAGGGGACGGACTCAGCTCGGAGTATCTGTAGTACTGGTACACAGTACGACATACGTACCAACTACTAGGGTTATTCAGTCATTAAAACCCTAGCACCACTGGTGTATCCATCTTTCCCTTAATCCGTTGCTTTTACCGTACGTTGTACGTTATACCACTTATGCCGTACGATGGCACCTTCATAAGTTGTCATTCTTCCCGTGTTGTTTTCGTACGTGCCCTCGCGCCGATCCATTAATTTAGTCTGAATATTTGTACAGGTTACATCAGGGAAACGATCTTGGGGAATAAAATAACTCTGGGCGCTTAGGGAGCAACCCTAAGTTAAGGCCAATGAACATGTACAAACGTAATGTGTGAACGTAATGCAATGCGTGTGTCTGTCTGCCTATCTACCCTGCTCCACCTTTACAGATAAGGCCCTTCTCCGCTTCATCCTTACCGGCAACACCAGCTTTTGGAGCCGACCTGAGGTGGCCTACCGCGTAGGATTCGGAACTGCACCTTGGCGCTGCGTCGACCGATGCCAGGCCATCTATTTCAGCTCAGTAGGAGAATGCATGCCTGATTGCACTACCAACATTTTCTGTACGCCTGGAGGTGCGCCAATGGTTTCGGTTCTTTGCTTTTCCCGGCGTTCGGAAACAACAACACATGCAACCTGCGCTTAAAAAAGTGGATGTCTGCTGAACAATTGCTGATGTATGAAAGTTGTGTGTGCGTGCATGCATGCATATGCAACAGTGTACGAGCGAGTGCCTAGCTAGGCTATAGTCATTTCCCATGCAAACGAAATGAAGGGAAGCGTACATGCAGAGATTTCTCGATCACGCTCTGAAATGGGTTAACAATGCTACAGTGTATCCGGAAATGGATCGAATCTTTTATTTCTTGATTGTCACACATGCATGCATACATCCCTGGGGCCAGGAACACACCCAGAACGGAGATGCAAAACTAAATGTTGCAGCAGTTACATGTCCTGCGACAGATGCACAAGGCCGCGCGCGTCTTTATACAAGTTACAAGTTCCGCACACAAGTGCGGGTGTGTCCGCAAAAGCCGGGGGGCCCATGGACGTAAAACTTGGAACCATATCTCTCGATTTGTGCGTGTCATCCTTGTGCAGGGGCCATGGTACCCTTCTCTGTATTTTTCCAATTCTAACATTTGTGCCGAAGCACATAATTCATAGAAAGATCAAATACTCATAGAATTCAGATTAATCGCCGTCACGGGGAATCGAACCCCGGCCTCCCGCGTACCGTTAGTATGACAGGCGGGGATACTGACCACTATACGATGACGACATGACAGAGAAATATTAAAAAATTATATAATATTTTGCCATAGACGGCGCTTATACATTACCTTGCAAATGATGAGCAAGAAAGGCTGTCGTAATGTGTATGTGTGCCGAAGATCATCTGCTTGTTGAAGCTATATCACGCTTACCATCTCAAGCAAGGTAGCCTTGCACGCAGGTACCCCTGCCAGTGACACTAGCACCCCCTGCTGTGCACTCAACCTGTGTGACCAGTCGTACACACTCTGGGTAGGGCAGCAGCAGCAAAACTTGAGCAGATCTTGGTGCACCACCTATCCAGCCTGGTGAGTGCCCGACCAGTCCATATAGGAATATATTTGCACAATTCGCCGGTGGTTTGAGCCTAAGTGTCATGGCCGGCCACTGGTCCAATATAAATAAGGGGTTTAGGGGGCATGAGATTTCCGGTAGGTTTGAGCCGCCGATACGCGGGGAAACCAGGCGGGCAAGTGGGGCGGTGCAGTGGAGGTATTGTGTGGAGGCTTTAGCGGCGTTATGGACAGCGAGCTGCTGAATGAAGTTTGGCGAGATTTACTGCTGGTGGCATCGCTACCGGGGCCGTTGTAATCACATTGTAACAGCAGAGGACAAAAAAGGGATATAGATGTTCATAGCTTTCCTGCACTACTTCATCCAGGCAGGTGGTGAGGACATGTAGCTAGGCCATGCCAAGCCCGCGGAACGTATGTTTGCTTGCTGCAGGGCCGGCTCAACGCCACGACCAAGTGTGTGCGAGTTCAATGTGTACTCTGCACGAGGGGTTGATCCACCTCTCGGAGCTGACGACCCCTTCCTGGCAGTGTCATGCAAGCGGGTCGAAAATGTAGCGACCTTCCACGTGAATGGCACAGCATATCGCAATGATACTGTCAGGCGTATCATGTACTACAATGCCATCAAGAGGAGGAATGCAACAGCCAATGTTGTAAACCGAGTGTAGGTTGGTACTATAACATTTAGTAGGATTTGTATCAACCATTAGGATTAATCCTGGCCACATACGTACATACATGGTATGTGCATACGCCCATATTCATACGATGGACATATAGATTACTAGTAGTTGGCAGCTGTGGAGTACCCCACAGCTTTACACAACGTCTACACATGGTAACCTATAGCATACACGCCTATAGACCATGCTGTCTACATCGAATCGCCTATCTATAAAATACTCATTTATAGGCCCTTTATTTCCAAGACACTGCCTATTAGGCGAGGCCCCGACCTATTGTTACAAGTTGCAAGTGCCGCACGTTCGGTTCTTTTCTGCAAAAGACGTGATACAACACCCTGTCACCCGACATCCATAGAGACAGATCAGCCATCACTTCAAAACCTTAGAATGCAATTTTCTTTCATCAACGCCGTCACGGGGAATCGAACCCCGGCCTCCCGCGACCAGTCGACATGACAGGCGGGGATACTGACCACTATACGATGACGACTAGGTTTGAGCTATGTAAACCAAATAAGTTATATATATACAAATTACATGCAAATTACGTGCAGCTTACGTGCAAGCTGCATGTATCATGCATTGCTGTAAGTGCACGCCGCCTAGCAAATCAACTAACAAAACTCAGATACACTCCCGCCAGCCAACCGCCTACTGCATTCACCTATCGATAAATACTGTAGTTAAGAGACAGGTGGTTCCACCTCTTCAGCCATCAAAGCTGATAGCAAATAGTAACAAACAATAACCCAAGGTCCATCTTGGAAATGGATTCGAAAGATTTATTGCTGCTGTCTAGGTAGGAGCCCTACTGTACGTAAAACAAAAGGAACAACATACGAGTGCTCGCTTTTTGCTTGGTTTCTTTGTGCAGCAGCGTCTCGGCTTTTGTGGTGTGGCGACTCAGGACCGTGGTCCTCCGTATATCTCTTGCCATGCGGACTCCGTGGGTATCTTTGACTAGGAGAGTTTTCTGAGCGGCCATCTTATCATTATTGTTATCATTATCATATATGTGTACCTATATCTCCTCGGAGATATAGGATCCGCGGATCCGTGGAGGCACATCTGTAGAGAGACTGTCTCTTCGTTTGAAACTTGCTTAGTAATACATATGGCAGGCGGCAAGCACCGAAAAGTGTCCTCCCTACAGCTATGGCACTAGAGGGAGGCGGGTAACTCCCCCCTCGTTTGCATGCATATGCCTCGTTACCTTTCACTTTTTTTTGCTGCTGCGCTGCACTTCACTCCCCGTATTTATGGAATGTACGCAGCTCCCTCCGACATGCTCCTGCATGGCACCATCCTTCAGTCAACATCACCGAGCCCCCCGAGTTCAGCCTAATAGATGACCTGGTGTGCCTGCCCCTGGAGGAACTGTGAGTACGACACGACATGCATGTCCAACAAATCTCCCAATCGTTGATGCGAAAGCACAATTATGTGGCTGTCCAAATGAATGAAGGAGCATTTCCTGTCTGTAGTTTGTATGCAGCACTAATTATTGCCCATTAGTTACAGTCGCGTGCTGTCCATGCTAAGCATGCCTGCTCACTTTATACACGCAGTAGCTGTTGTCATACATCTGCGCGTGTTATAATGCTATGGATTTATCGTCTTTACATCACGATGGAAAACGTTTCCGATGACGTGCTGCAGCTTACCAGTAAATGTTTTGGTCACCTATATGCGACAATCTCGTGTAATAGGTAGGCCTACCTACCGCCCCCACTCTGGGAAAACGGGGGTCATTTTACCCGTAAATTTGGGTCAATCCACCCGTAATTTGACAGAAATTACGGGTCCGTAACACGTTACGGGTCCCGTAATTTGAGCACAAGGATACGGGTGAACATTTACGGGCGACCACCCCGGAATTACGGGTGAATATTACGCGGTGCTGCAGATGAATTACGGGCGCATGTAACCAATTACGCGCACAATTACGGGTGAAGACCCAGTGATTACGGGTGGATATTACGCGGTGCTGCAGGCCCTAGGCACGGTCCTCAGCTAGTAGTAGGCTCAGCGGTGTACCTACAAGCCTGCCCGAATGGGCCAGGGCCGCAAGGACTTAATATATCATTGCTGTCACACATATGTGTGCACGTTGATGCAGCAAGCAGCCCAGAAGTTAAAAAGGGTAGGTAAACACCCGCGGCCATTTGATACCAGTTGTGTAAGGGATGGAAAATGGAATACGAATGGAAGATTGGATTTCTGTGAGACCATAGATTAAAAACTTAAAAATTTATTCCTAGCTAGGCTATCGGCCTCCCATGTTCCAAAACGCGCCAGCCAGCTGCAGCGATTCTTTGGCAAGAGCTCGGTGGGGCCGCATTAACAGCAGGGGTTCTTTTTCAATATTCCTATCGTGGAGGATAGCTACTCAGCTGGCCCGTCGGTGATGCACGTTCCTCAACGAGATAACGATAAGCAGTACTGACTTCTGTTTGTACCTGTGTGCCTGCTGCTGCTGGGTTTTGCATACATGTCATACGCCTATCCCTTGGCTCGTTTGCATGAACCCTACGTATCCAGCTACTTTGAAGACATCTACTTTCGCTCCGAGTACGAGGGGTTAGCTGTCACGCCGGATCGAAGGGGCCCCAAAGGCTCTACGTTTGACCTGTACGTACGGCACTTGTGTGTAATGTGACGACCTCTTGGGGTGGGCTGCTGCATGGCCCCATGGGGCGGCTCAGTCAGCCGGAATGGCGCTGACGTCGTATTACCTGCTTGTATGGATGGATGCCTGGATGAAAATTTTTGCATATATGAAGATTGCATATATGAAGATCTTCTATGTATACATAAACCTCAGCCAGCTCCCTCAGGCCTGAACGCAAAATCTGATGGCTCTTTATGACTCGATTCATGTCCGACATTGAGTCAATGCTTGCGGGCCCAGGCATGCGGGCCTGGCATGATGTCCAACACAAATTACACGTGCTTCATGATGCAGGTGGAACTACACGACGTGGCTTTGTGACAGAAAGAATGGTATACCGTACGACCTAACCGAGTTTGGGATTCCAGGCTTTGTTTGGAGTGCTCAGAATATGGCCTCACAAAGCTATTTCGCAATAATGTTAGGTAAGCCGCTGGTAAGGAGGTAAATATATTTGTAAGGAGGTAAATATATTTGTACTATATTTTATATTATTTGTACTATATTTGTATATTTGTACTATACTTTATATTTTGTACTATATATTTGTACTATACTGCATATATAGGAAGTAGTATATGGGCCTACGTCTCGAGAGCTCTCTGGACGTCGAGCTGTCGGCCGATCGATCGGCTACGTCGCGACGTGGGCCGTCGGCCCGTCTTGTAGAGCTACCTGCGGCTGGTTAGAGTTGATGATGTATGCAATCCTAAGATAAAATAAAATAACATGCGACATATCTTTTCAAATGGTGTGTGGGGGGGGTTATAAGGATCAAAAAATGAATGTATTTCCCAAAAATTATTGGGCTTGTTTACGAATGGAAGATGTTGGCTTAGGCACCGGAACGTACGTACGGGCATGATATTGTTTTCTCGTAGCTGTCGTACATGGCAGGCGTACACACCAAAGCGCTCTGTTCTCTGTCGGCATCTCGTACGGCATTTCAGCGAACAGCAAATACACATACGCATACATGCTCAATATCCCGTTTGTTAACGTCTTCACTTCCTATCTACAGCGTAAGGAAGATACGATATGAGATGCCGATGACAGCTCCTGCTTGCCGCCACCCATCATTCCTGCCCTCACCATCGTGTCTGAAATTTCGGATCGTCTACCAACCATCTTAATTTCAGGCTTATCGATAGCTATCTATTATACCAAGGCACCACTTATTTCAAGAACAATCGATATCACGAATTGATTTACAATGTATTTTTCGGTCCTGTCTATCTATTACATGATGACTCTGTCTAATAGACGATAAAAAACTTTACCGGTGACCCCCTTGGTCTGTTGGAGCAGATCCCTGTGGGCTGGTCCGAGCGATGGTGGAGAGAAGGTTGTCCAGCCTGAACCCTAATTTGGCACTGCGCCATGTCGCTATGGAGAAGTGCTCCTTCTCACCTCATACGGAGTTCAACGCAATGAGGTGCCCAAATAAGCATGGGAGTGAGATATTCATCCGCCTTGGTTCGATACATTAATTTGTACTGCTTTTTATCAAATTTTATCACCGATCTTCATCTGTGGAACATACATAACGTGTGTAGCATCATACAATATATGTTATTATGCATAATGCACGTCATCGTGAAAAAAAAATATGGACGATGAAAAAAATATGGAGAAAGTCACCTAAAGTAAGGAATGAGTCAATACGGTTCCACCATGCATATACGCACGTACTGTACGTCTGTACACCTTTTCACAACTGCTGTAGATCGTGCCCTGGGATATCGAATGAGATATGGACCGTCCCTATCTATTATACTAGGACGTGGTTTACAGACGATAAAAAAATGCAGACCTATGTTTGCACGTCTTACTTGTCGCATGTCATGACCAAAATTGTTTGTTATATTCCCGTCCTTATGACTGGATTTTCACATATCCAAAAATCTTTTCAACAGGTGGTCTATCCGGGCTAGCCTGGAGTCAAGTGCAGAGCTTCGAAAAGCACTCGAGTACATCAAGTATGGGAACCAGACTCTCCCCAAAGGTTGGCATCCCCCAGAATCGTACCCTCTGGCCGCCCGCCCCTTCCTGCCTGACACTCTCAAGCGCCTGACAATTAAGCGCACGAACGATGGCAGCCACCCAGCAAAAGCGTGGAAAGGCCGGCCAGTGATCAAGGGCTTTCTGCCTGCGGAATGGGCTCTGCTGCGCAATTTAGAATACCTGTGAGTATGCCTGCTGATGAAGACAACATCGAAGTCGGAGGAGCGAGTGTATCCTTGCCTGCATTTCTACCGGCAAAATACTTAAACGGCTATAGACGGGGTCATCGTATGATAGTTAGGACCAAGAGATAGCGAGGTGGAATATTCCTATATTATATGTCCATTGTAAATATTGGTCTTTAGCCTATGCATGCCATGGTATATATAACATATAGGCCTGAAAATATTGTATGTTAATCAAAATAAATTTACATAAAATGAAAAATAAAAGAAAATAACTAGTTACGCATTAATTGGTTGGTTAATCTGACCCTACAGGGACTTGAGTGACGACATGGGGCAGGGCCTTATCGAGGGCCCCATTCCCAGCACCTGGCTGATGATGACAAGGCTGAGGACAATGTAAGCAAGATGGTATAGATAGACGGATAGATAACGGCTTCCTGTTTCACACAACACCGCTTACGTCTTACTAAGATTTCGTTGTACGTAGATTCGTTGTAAGTAGTTACTTGTACGTACAACATGATGGATCATAATAACCCTGCAGGCCCTTGCTGTGTAATCCTTTTTCCTTTTCTTTTGTATCATTGTAGATGCATTGAAATGTTTGCTGTGGCGGTCTATGTCCCATGTACATATGTACATATGTACATGGGCTTCTATGCATAGAAGCCCGTGAACTGTGTAAAATCCTATGTACTGTGTAAAGCCCATGAACTGTGTAAAATCCTTATTTGTGTGGCACCCATCCTGCCTAAGAGTGACATTGGTGCATACTTCGTAGATTTTGTTTCATCGTTAACCCCTCACCACATTTGTTAATTCCCCTGCTTTGCCTCGCGTGCTTGCTTACGCATGTCGCGCGCAGCAATCTGACAGGTCATCCAAATTTTTGTAAAGACTGGCACCGGTGAGCCATCAAGCACTCGTAACACAAGCTACGAATTACAAGTTCCGCATAGGTTGGGGGAAAATCAGGGGCTCTACTAGAGCTATAGTATGGACGGTTATAGCACCTAATGATCGGTGGATGGCATGGAGGGGCGTGAAGGATGGATGGCGTACCGATCTTGGATCATTACATCATGCGGCTGGAGAAGGTTATAAAGGGTTTTGGATTGTTCACTTAATAAAGTGGTACGTTATCCGAGCTAAGAACATCGGAATTGGAGTCCGATGCAGTCAAGCCCCAACAAACACCCTGCACAGATGTACGGCACACACGCACCTGTGCACGGCACACGTGTACACACATACTGGCCTGGCGACACCAGTGCAATTAGCAGTTTAAGGTCCTGGGTTTGTTTCCCGGGTAGCGCCGGTGCCGGGTGGGGACTTGACATCGATGTCATATATATATTTTTTTTAATGTTACAGAGTGGGAGGCTTCTGGGCCGCTTTATCACATTGTCAGTTCTAGATCATTTATCACCTTATAGCACCATCCACCACTACCACACTGTACTTCGCCATACGAACTGTAAGTCCAAGGCGGCGGATCCAACCTTCAGGGACCCCTCCTCATCCATTCACCCGAACACCCGAAGAGACGGAGGGTTTGGCAATCGCCACCAATCCAGCGTGCGAATCTGGTCCATCAACTGTGACCTCAACTCCACATCTCAGCAGCTAGCCATAACCTCGCGCTCCCGACTAATTCGGGGGTCTCCCCAGGAATCGAACCCAGGACCTTAAACTGCTTATTGCAGTAGTGTCAACCCAGACCAGACCGATGTCATATGTTATCGCCCTTCCCCGCTCACCTGGGCTCACCGCACCTGGGCACTGCGGGCCTGGTATCCAGACCTCCTATAGAATACTAGCCATAGCTAGGGGAGCCGTAGGCTATAATAGTACGCGTCTCGCGCCCCCGGAAGCCCATGTCCCTCTGGTATTTATCCCATGATAAGTGTTTGTAGGCTGGGTATTCACAGATGATCCCCGTACATATGTACATGCATGTTAGATAGCCCATACCCTTGCTTGCTCTCGCTTCCTTGCACCCCTGTAAATGGGTGTGTGTGTTCACTGCAATGGATCATATGTTCGCTGTCCCCAGGCAGGGGCAGGGCCAATCCTGGTACCTGTCAATTATTCCCTTAGGATGAAATCTTCTGATGCATGTGTGCAAGCATGCGTGCAAACAAGCAAATAGGCACGCACCACATTTTTACGAACTTGTCCTGCTGCATACTGGCTCGCTGCTGTTAACAGGATTGTGGCGTACTTTACCGACCAGTACGGAATACGTCTACGAAATAGATTTGCCGTAGACGGCGTTTATTACGGTCGTGAAAAGTCTTATTATGGACGACCGTTTTACCTCTACCTGAATGGTAGGTGGAGGTTATACTACCATACAAACGTCACATTATTCAATCTGGACGGCGTCGGCTGGCAGTGGTATGACCCCAGAACAGGTGAAGGTGAGCACCCGAAACCTGCTGGATACGTACGACATCGTACTACATAGTATGTGCGCGCATGCGTGCGCGTCATGTGTGTGCATCCAATTGATGGTTTATATGCATGTGCGCATGTGATTAGGTAAATCATAATAGTCTAAGCATGTATATACTACGGTCGGCAGCGTGTATGGTGGCAGCTTGCTCGATAAGTGATTCAACTCTGGAATACACAATTGAATTGTACACTTTCGACAGCCTTCGTGTAGCCCCGCCGTACTTGTACATGGTTTTAGTAGCATGTGCCGTGTAACATTAGGCTTTTAGGGTTTTTATAGATCGGCAGATATTGAGCCATGCAGATATGCTAGGTACGGTGCTTTCAGTTTTGCGTGGAGGACTCGATCGCATAAAGGCTGCTGGGTTGCAAGCCATACTACCAGGCCATTGAACCTAACCTTTACACTCCATATGTAATTTGCAAAGGTGCACGTGCACGCCATCTGTGCACGCTGCATCCTTCAGGAGGAATACCTTTGCCAGATAATTATGAAGTCGGATGGGGTGAACGGATTCGGGTGCCCCTATCGCAGGGGAGAGCAGGGAACTGCCTCCAAGGGAAAGGGGGCCGCTGGTGAAGCTATACCACCCTGTAACAACATACATAATAATGACAGTTTCTGTCTGTCCGTCCTTGGTTCTCCTTGCCTGTACATGTTGTGATGTGCATGCTTGCTGTGTGGATGGGTTGCTGACTTGCATTGCAAACGCTCTTTTAATTCCACCCTTTGCCGCGCCTACCATCACAGCTGGCTACACGAACGTCATTGCACCCGACGGCAGATGCTGTTGGGACCTGTATAGTGATCAATTTGCAGCCCGAAACTACACTCTACAAGGGCCCTCAGGAACCAGCGGTCCATGGGACCCCTGGGGTGTGGGGTATGAGGCCGCAGACTTCTGTGACAGGAACAATACCGGCTTCTGGCCAAGGGCAACAGGTTCACGACCACCCATTCCGCCAGCCGCACCTAAGCCGCCAGACATCCCTGCTGCACCACCACTTCCATCAGCAGCGGACAACAATGCCGCTAGCTCACCTGGACGACCGCCTGGTTTTCCACAAATACCTAGCACCTCAGCAATGTTGATCCCCAATGCTCCGCCTTTCCCACCTTTTCCACCGGGTATACCGGGAATGCCTGCTTGGTATCGTGCACAGTGGGCTGGTGCATGGCCGCTGAGAGACCTAATCCCACCACGGCCACCACCACCACGGCGGCCAGCACCACTGCCGCCACCACCGCCACCACCACCACCACCACCGCCACCACCCCCACCCAAGCCACCACCACCCAAGCCACCGCCACCCAAACCACCACCACCCAAGCCACCACCACCTGCACCACCCCCACCCCCACCACCATCACCCCCACCACCCCCACCCACACCACCACCGCCCAACACCACCGTCACCCACAA